ATGGGAACACCAACACTTTCAAGTTCCCCTCCAAACCACTCACCATCCTGACTTGGGAATATATCGCAGTTCCTTCACTGTCACTGGGTCAAAATCTTGGAATTCCCTCCCTAATGGCATTGTGGGTCAACCCACAGCGGTTCAAGAAGGCAGCTCACCACCACCTTCTCAAGGGCAACTAGGGATGGACAATAAATGCTGGCCAGCCAGTGACACCCACATTCCACAAATGAATAGGAAAAAAAAACGGATTGTGTCATGAGAGTAGGTTTGCTTTGTAAGTGTGCTTGTGTTTAAAGGTCTTTCACTAATTGTGGGGGCTTTTGTGACAGTAAATTAAAATATTATGTGAGCACATAACATAACTTTTTCAATATTTTGATTGATTTAAATTAATTTTCTGTAGTATATTGATATCAATACTTGACCTGTCCTGTGACTGTGGTAAATGGAAAGTTGAAAAGTACTCTAGCTGTCTTTGGAGAGGGTTTAAAAGACTACCTCACTTGTTGCATCCAGTACCTTTCTGCCCTCAGCTATGGAGTTCTCCAGGACTGAGATATGATGGAGATGTCTTTGTCACACTTCATAGTTTATTCCTGCTTTTCCAACATTGGTACTTCAAGACACTTAAAAGTAAAATCTGCTTTTTACGGCTAGGCAGGCATTTCAGCCAATAATCCTTACATACATTACAATTCAAAGGGTTTACTGTAGAGGGGACTCATCCAACTAACAATTCAGCATTCTCCTTTTATAAGTTGTTTGCTGTTATAGAGTTATACAGAAATGACCCGTCGGTCCAACTCATTCATGCAGACCAGGTATCCTAAGCTGACCTAGTCCTATTTGCCTGCATTTGGCCTACATCCCTCTAAACCCTTCTTATTCTTATATCCATCCAGATGCATTTTAAATGGTTTAATTGTACCTGCCTCCGCCACTTCCTCTGGCAGTTCATTCTATACACAAACCACCCTCTGCATGCTGTTGTAAAAGTTTCTCTGATGTGAGTGACAACGGGCAATCAGTAACTAATTTTCTATCCCTGAGAGAGTGCCTTTTCTGGTGATTTTTAAATGTATGAATGTATGATTGGCTCTTGGGGAACTTACTGGACACTAAGTCAACAAAAGGTTCGGGACTGGAGTCCAGGATAATCTATGTAGATTTATTGAATTAAATTTCCATCAAATAGTTACGTTACCCTTTTTGGTACATTGTCTTCCCCTTGCATTCTTGTGGACAAAACATCACCAATGGCAGTGAATGTGCTTATTTTCCGTTTTGTTTGGAAATGATAAAGCAACATCAATACATTATGGATGAAAATTTGAAATGGACTTACAAGTATTCTACTGAGTTGCTGACCTCTGGTTTTTGTTTGCAAAATTAACATTACTTTTAAAAAAAAGTACAACTGAGAGTTATCCATTGTGTAGCATATTAATTCTAATGTGGGCCGTGAAGTAAATTGTTACTAACTATGCAGTAGGAGATCTGGTGGTCCAATGGTAGTATCCCTGCTTCTCAGTCAGCAGCTCTAGGTTCCAGGCCCACTTTGAAACTTGACCGTAAAAGGCATCCGTGGATATGGCCAAACAGGTTGGCTCCTTCCAATATGCCTTTGGAGGATGGTAAGAGCTGGAAGGTCTCCCAGCATGCTGGAACCTGCAGCCAGCAATGGAATATTAGGTAGCATCTTGCTATGCATAACCACAGACCAATGTATAAATATCCATGGTCTTCACCAATATCCTCTTGCACATGATATCTGGACACTGCGAGTTAAACACTGCAGATAGTTATTAACAAAGTGTTTTGTTGATTTTTTTTTTGTATAGCATGAGTTGGTGAATTTGCAGCAAATGAATTTATCACTTCAAGCTGTCCTTCAAATGGTTGTCTCCTTCAACAAGGTAAGGCATTGTTTTAAAGAATTGAACAATGTAAAATTATTCCTCACATCTGCCTAGTCTTGAAATCCGTATTTTAAAGTTTTGTTTGACTTTTTTAAAATATATTTTTGAATCTGTTTGTTACCTTATGTAAACTCAATGGCAAATTAATCTGTGTAGACCTAATGATCCATGTTTTCTGATAATCAGGTGGAGGGTAACTGATTAAAATGCATGGATTACTCAGGGCAATATGATAGAAAACTGCAGTCAATTTATTTAGATTATACATTTCAGTTATGATTAGACAACCCAGTTTTGCCCTTGTTTCCTTTCTCCAGTGTCAAATTGTAAACATTTGTGTAGGGCAATAACCACCCTCTTTAATTCTAATCAGTGTTCATTTAAAGTGAATAGAGTCCATTGCCTTGTATGACAAAACAGTGTGATGTCTAGAAATAAAATTTTACAAGTATTGAAATGACAGGATGGAAAACAAGCCATTTTTTTAAAAGATCAATTATTTTTCACCTATTTCCCCATCTTCTCCAAGGCAATTAAGGGAAGGCAATAAATTATGGTTTTTGTCAGCAATGCCCACATCCCATGAATGAGTAAACTTTTTTAAAAAACTGCAACTCTGCTCCAAAATTACTTTTTGGATTCTTTAGACGAAAATATACTTGTAAAATGTGAGGCTGCAAAATCTTGCACCACCTTTTTAATAATCCATATGACATGGATAACAAAAGAACAATGGTCGTTCTTGTGCTTAAAGCTAAGCATAATTTCACCTAGTGCAAGTCAAAACAATAAGTCAGAGTTCAAAAAAGAAGCCAACTCTTGACTAAAGTTCATGAGAACCATTGTGGCCTTATCCTCATTTTTCTCAGTTGGGCTACATTTGTATTAAATGAGATTTGTGATGGCTCATTGATAATACTGTTACCACCTTTTTCTTTCTCCTCTCTGTGAGAAATTGTGGTTGCTTTCTGCATGGGTTAATTTCACCTTCTCGTCAACATGCATCTATTTTGCTATGTTATTTGGGTCTTCCCTAGTGACTGTTCTCGTGGATCATCCAAACTGATGAGATTTTTCAGCTATTGCAAGTTGCAGACATTAGTATTCAAATTAATAATTATTTTATTTCAGATTATTGAGGAGGTCAGCCAGAACTCTAATCACCTTACAGGTTAGTGCTCTGTAATGAATCACTGTTTTAGTCACATACAATTGGTTGTCCCTTCCTTCCTGCCATTGAAGGTATCGCTTTGGGTGAAAGATAGTGGCCCAGAAATTTTGATCAGGATGGGAAAGCCTATTTCTTACCCTGAGCAGATTTTTTAAAAATCCACTTATCTTTTCATGACTTCTGTGCTGGAGATTCCTGGACAGGGGCCACCTGTTTGAACCCGTTCATGAATCCCTGCATTCAGCAGCACAAGAAATCATTGTCAAAACCATGTCCACTTTCACAGTATTAAGTACAATATTCTGTTCAGACACTTTATGAAATTCAACTGTGACAAGGTTGTAAATGGGTAGTGGGATTAGGGTGTCTGCTGGGGGAGGGTGGGGTTTAGGATATCAGATGAGTGATGTCAGGGAAGTGGATCATGTCAGATCCAAAGGCGTGAGATTTTTGGAATGCTATTAGATCTCCTACTGTGAAGACTGATAAAGCATTTATTCTACACCACTGCATTATCCAGGTTCGCCCACTATTATTCCCTTGGCCTCATTCTCTAAAAGGTCTATGTTCATTTTGGCCTCTCTCTTCCTTTTTTATACATTTAAAGTTGGGAGGGTTAGGTTAGTGGTGAGTCGGTGACTCAGTTCAATAGTGGTCTAGGAGTTAGAACAGTGTTTCAATCCTTCAGTCCTATTTTCCGGGCAATTATTGAGTTTAAAGGAATCAGAACCTTCCAAATTCTCCAATTTTAAAGGGCTATTTTAGAGTGTTCCAGTTGGAAGGAATTGCCAATTAGAATTTTTAATTTCCTGGGTAACTCCCCTGCAGTCAGTTGCATGGCTATTTCTGCGTTGTCCTGATGCACAACACCAATGTATGCTGCTGCAATGACTATTTGGTAAAGGCTGACTACAACAAACTCTACTTTCATGGCATTCAGTAAATTGAAAATTGAGGTAGAAGGTATTAGCAATTGGTTACTATTCAATTATTCTGGCTTGATTATGAAATCTATATGTTGAAGATTGGATTACTTCTGATCCATTTCCTGACAATCTTGCAATTTGGCTTGCTAGGCAACAGAAAGCTTACCAGTGCAGCCAAGTATATAAGTGGTTTTAACTGAGCTCTGGCAGTACCCTCCTATTTTCAACCTGTGTCTTAGTTTTCCCTACCCACTCTCTATTGTTCCTATCTCGGTCAAAAATTATGTTTGTATGTTATTACAAATGATGCCACAAGTATCTCAAAAATATAATTTACAGTTGCAATTTATTAACTTTTTTTGTACAGAGCTCAATAAAGGATGGTCGACTTTCTTCAGGGCACAGAAGTGATCAAGAATACAAAACACTGCAGAAAGCTAAAATTCTGATGCTTGGACGGGGTAATATTATCCTCTGAAAAGCATGGAACTGTTGAGATATCTATGTTCTGTAGTTACACATTTTAAGAAGACCCTGCTGCATTTTGATATACATTGTAATATTGCCAATCTGATATTTGTCTACATGATGCCAATAAACAACTTGAGTTTGGAATATATTTAAGAAATAGATTGAAATGACAAACCAAGATGTAAACAAGAACAAAGTCAGTATAACAAAGTTTAAATAAAATTGAACTAATTACATCTCCTAACTCTATATAAACTAAAGGTGGACCCATATTTCACATCTTCTTAAAAACTGGCATACACTTTTAATAATGGGTAAACATGTTAACTGCAGTTTCTGAAAGTGCATGGATTTAAAGACTGTTTCAACAATGAGTCTGAGTTGTTACCTGACACCAGAATGATCAGATTTATCATCAGTGCTGCCCCTCAATTCAGTGAATGTAATGCATGACTTGTAAAATAACAAGTTGAATTTTTTTGCTATTTCTTTTGATTACCAAAATAATTTGTGCTGTCTTTAAGCAATATTCTGTGCTGACAGTCAGTACTGAACCATTGGCTTCTCCGATATTTCTTTGTCTGCATAGTTTATCCAAAGACTACTGGGACGCTTGGCTTCCTAAAAGACAAAATCATTGAAGGCAAATTTTACAAATTTTTATTTGCTTTTATGTCATGATCTATAATAAATATATAGACTGGTGAGGCAATTAACAGTTCTCCTTTTTTATCTATAATCTGGTGAAATCCGGTTGACTATTCTACACTAAGATGTGGCCTAATAGGCCAAGTGTAGATGTCAACTAACCATCCTGCTTGAGCTGTGTCTACTTATTCTAGGGCTTTTGTGTTTTGGATCAGGGATTTCAGAGAACAGTGCCAATGCATCATTTTTGTTTATAGTCTTCAATAATCCCTACCAGGGCCTGTTGGAGGACTAAGTTTCCTTTGAGAGTTGCATCAATCCTGTTATGGAACATATATCCTTTTTAGTGCTGGTACTGCTGAAATTAGGAATACTATATTTGAAACAGCATGTTATCACAGTAAAAGCACAATAAGATTTTTCCAGTATACTGAGTTTACTGCAATGAACATGGTTTTCAAACTGGTGAGTGAAAAACAAAGGCTTGCCATCATCACCACGCTTAGGGGGTAAATGTACTGTGAAGTTACACGGTATAAGCTGAGACATAAGAGTGCTGTTATTTGCTTTGGAGCAGACTACTTAAATTGGGAACGTATGAAGGTGCAGTGCAGTATGGCCAATAACCCAAATACATATTGCTTCTGGGTTCATGCACCAAGAAATTTCAGAAGACTACGTGAAGCTACCTGTACCTCTAAATAAAGATTTGACCCATTGATGATGTAATGATTAAATCAGAACTTTATTTGCAACACGTTGTAAGCAAGTTGCTGTTTTACAAATTAATGAGGAATTATGGAACATGGTTGCACGAGATTTTTCTAACAATCCATTTTTTTCCATAAACAGTAGCTGTAATTTAATGCCAAATTCCCTCGTGTCAGTGCTTCAACAAGTGGTAGGAACCTAGGTGTATCAGTGTCCCTTTAAAATATTATTTCAACAAAAGATTATATATCTAAAATATGTAATCTAAAAGATTAAGTATCTTTGAAAAAATTGTGTATAAACACGAAGAAAAATGGCATTTGTTAATTATCTAATATTTCTCATTGGTAGTCCATAAAATTCTCTCCACTGCTTATTTATAACCACAGCAACCAAATATACTCACCAAAATATAATAGTTGTTTGATAGAATGTCTTCAATATTCAAAGGCACATAAACATTCATAGAGTCTGGAGGAACATGGCTCTGGCTTTGCTCATTGAGTTCATGATTTACAGCTCTGTCAGGCAAGTGTTACAAGATTTAGAGCAACAAATGTAATGCATTATGTCAAAATATTGACCAATGGATAAAACATGTTGAATGATACTCTACAAACTGCTTAAAGTACAGGCTACGTTCTCTCTGTAACAGGCAATTCTACAGATTTATAACATAAAATCGTTATATTTTTAAATCTAGTTACTGACTCATATGTGGCATGTCCCTTCTGCAGGCCATTATTGCCCATCCCTAACTGTCCTTCCTAGAAAAGGGAGGTAAGCCTGAGTCAATTTGAACTGTTACAGTTCATCTGGTATAGGTACATTCGCTGCTGTCAAGGGGTTCCAGGATTTTGACTCCGTGATGGTGAAGGAACAATGATATGGTTCCTACTCAGGATTTATGGGAGGGGATCTTGCAGGTGAAGATGTCTGCTTCCCCTGTTCTTCTAAGTAGCAGAGATCACAGCTTGGGAAAGTGCTTTTGAAGAAGTGATGGTAAGTTGCTGTTGCACATCCTGTAGATGGTTAGCCTTGTGTATTGTGGTGATGAAAGGTGAATGTTGATGGTAGTAGGTTGCTGATCAACATAATTGCTTTGTCCTGGATGGTCATTGGTGAAGCAGCTGAAGATAGTTGGGCCTCCGCTGCTACCCTGAGAAGCTCCTGCAGAGATGTCCTGGAACTCTGACTTCCAACAACATAAACAATGTCTTTTGTACTAGGTATAATTCCATTCCAATTGATTCAATCAGCTTTTCTCCTCTTCCCTGTTTTGTGAGGATTCCTTGATACCAATATCACATAAGGAAGTCAGCTGTTTTATTTATATTTGAAACAAATCCATAATGAGGCCATAAGCCATGGGCCTAACAGGACCTAAATTGAGCATTGTAAGAGCATGGAAGCTGGAGTAGATCATTCAGCCCTCGAGCTTGTTCTTACATACTAGATCATGGCTGATCATCTACCTCAACATCATGTACCCATGCTATGCCCGTATCCTTTATGCCATAGCTAGAAATATATTCATCTGTGTTGAACTTATGGATGAACTTTCACAGTTTTCTGATGTACAGAATTCCAAAGATTCACCATCCACTTGTGTGAAGAAGTTCCTCCTCATCTCTGTCTTAAACTGCTTGCTTTTTAATCTGAAACTGCCCCCTGCTGTAGGCCCCTACAACCACTGGAAGCATCCTTTCTGCAAACATTCTTAGCTAGGGCCATGGAAAGTTTGGAGCACGGGTCTTTAGTATAAGTCTTCAGGTATGTTTTCATATCCTAAGTACTTACTGTATTCAGTGCATTCAGCTATTTCTTTACAGCACTTGGTGTGAAATCAATTTTTTAAAGACTGGCATCAATGATGTTGGGAATCTCAAAGAGGTTAAGGTAGATCATATGTTTGCACTGTTGACTGTGGGTAATTGTTAAATGCTCCAGCCTCATCTTTGCATTGAAATGTTGGACTCCCCATTATGAAAATGTTTGTGGATCCTTCTCCTCCAGTTAGCATTGAAATGTCCACCCCATTCACAACTGAATGTAGCAGATCTTTGATTTGATCCTTTTTAGTTGTGGAATGTTTAACAGTATGGTGCACATAGAGTGCATAGACCATAGCAATAATAGTCCATGCTATAAGAATAAAAATCTCGTCATGTTTTTGTAAGTAATGTTTGTGGGGTAATGTTTCCGCAAGTACTAAACTTTTGGGAATTTGGCAAGTGACAGGATTTTAAGGGTTGATCTCTTCCTAAAAGGTTATTTAGGTTCTGTGATTTTACTCAACTTTAACCCTAAATGTAGATTCTTTCACTGTTAGTCAGTGAAAGCTGTCTGATGTAGGAGCAGTTGTGTAGTTAGTTCAGTGGCTGTTTAGAACTACTAGTTACTGTCAGTAGTGTATTACTTGGATCTTCAGAAGTTCTGGTAGCATGAATTTAGCTGTTTTGCACAGTGTATGTATCAGGAGCACTGCTACAGCATATTAAACACAGATTTGGAAGTGTGGGAGGGTTCTATCCTGCTATTTCAACAAAATCAAAGGTTGATTAGAGAGGCAATAAGAGACGCTGAGATGTGAGAATTGAAGTGTAGAGACATTCTTTAAAATTGGGTGTAAAACTCAATGTTTCCAAGTTTGAGGGGCAGCTGAAGTCACTGCAGTTACATCAGGGCAGCTTAGAGGTTGGTGGATTCTGTGTTCCTGAAGCTGGCCACTTCATAGAGTCATAGAGCTGTACAGCACAGAAACAGCCCCTTCGGTCCAACTCGTCCATGCTGACCAGATATCCTAAATTAATCTAGTCCCAATTGCCAGCATTTGACCCATATCCCTCTAAATCCTTCCTATTCTCTAGATATTTGGCTGAATGTCTATTGTAATAACCATACAGTTTTGGACTAGGAAACTGATGTATGCCAGGACTTTCATTCTTGATTGTTGCCTTTAAATTTTAGTGGAAAGTGCATCAATTTGGATAACATAATGCCTTTTAAATGTTGTAATCGTACCAGACTCAACCACTTCCTCAGGCAACTCATTCTATACACTCGTCACCCTGTGTGAAAAAGTTGCCCATTAGGTCCCTTTTAAATCTTTCCCCTCACCTTAAACCTATAACTTCTAGTTTTGGACTCCCCAGAACATTCAGGAGAATAGCCATTTGTGGCCATTGGAAGAGATGGAAAGTGCTGGAATAATGAGTCTGTACCGTTCTGGATAGTACTGTGTTGGATACTGCTGATGAAATATTCTGTGAAGGGAAGGAGAGAGCCAGAAGTTGTGCCTCATGTAGATAACAATGACATTGAGAGGGCAAATAGTGAGTTCTTAAAGTCAGAGTTTCAGAAGTTAGGAAGGAAGTTAAAAGCTGGGACCTCGAAGGTAGTAATCTTGGTTTTATTCCCAATACCTCACACCAGTGAGAGTAGAACTAACTTGAAGAAAATCAATGAGTAGTTTGTGGTTTTGGTGCAGAAGAGAGGATTTTGGATTCTTGTAGAATTAGGACCAGTTTTGAAACAGGCATCTATTCAAATGGAATGAGTTGCCCATCAACAGGACTGACAGCAATGTCCTTGTGGAATTGGTTCAATATTTGGTAGATGATTTTAAACAATTTAAAGGAATATGGGCACCAAAACATAAATGTGGAAAAAACAAACAAGGTGTATAATCGAGTGAATGTATTCAGTAGAACTAGAGAAGAAAGTAGCATTATATTAGACAGGAGCAGTCAGAGCTACAAGAAATTATACATAGAGATTCAGAATGCAAGTATGGAAACATGTAAAGTATGGTGAATAAAATTGGTGAGTAGTGGGCAAAAATAATCATGTGGCAATGATGGAAATTGGCACTAAGCCCTCACCACTTTTAAGCGAGTGTTCAATTTTGTTCATGAGGCAGGAATTTTGTGAGGTTTCTGGGATATCTACCCGTAAGTGGAACTGGCTAGGTTAGGAATATCTTGTGTGGAATTGCTACCCCATGGGGCATCCTGGAAATGGGTTCTAACTGCCATTTTTGAGGCCCTCTGGAGGTAGCCCAGCATCTCAAAAATCTGGCCCTTTATGCTCAAAAAGGTAGAGAAGAAAGGAAGGAACAGTCAGTGACAGTGACAGCCTGATTTGAGAGTACATTGTAGTATTGGAAAAAGGGAATGAGTGGTCAAGAACAAAATCCATTTTGACAGAGTTGAGAAATAAAAAAGGTACAATCATTTTACTGGGGGAATTCCATAAGTTTCCAAATACTGAGAGGGGGAGACAAATCTGCAAGACATCACATGAGCATGAACTATGAAGTGATATCTGGGAGGGATGGGTTTAATGACCCAAACATTAGTTGGGATACTATGAGAGCAATGGAAAATTATTTCTGACATGTGTCCAGGAAACCTATTTTGGCCAGTATGTTTAGTCCAACTCAGAAGGAGTCATTGCTGGACTGGTGCTGGGAAAAGAGGTGAGCCACATGAACCAGAAGAAAGTGGGAGAACACTTAGATAAGAGTGATCATTGTATGTAAGGTTTAGACTAATAATGGAGAAGTATGAACAATCAAAAGTAGAACATTTGTGGTTAACTGATCTCTGGATGAATGACTGTTGTAATAACCATAGTGTTTTGGACTAGGAAAGTGATGCATGCTAGATTTTTCATTCTTGATTGTTGCCTTTAAATCTTAGTGGAAAGTGCATCAATTTGGATAATGTGAGGAAAGGATCAGGCTTGACAGACGTATTTTGTAACTGAATAATCTGGATGTGCCTAGATTCACATGATGATTAAAACAAGATTCTATGGGACATCTGGCGTAACCCCAGCAAAGAACATGCCTTCAGCAGCTCAGGAAGAAAATGACAAGTTAAGGAAGAAACTGCTTCCATGGATTCAATGTCTATCCGTGCACTTACACAACTTTTTTTTTTAGAAAGTTTGGTTGAGCTGCATGTCTGCAGAAATGGGATTCTGACCTTTGGCTCAATGTCAAAGTTATTGCCTCTCAATTTAAAATGTAGTGTCTTCAAACACAATTCCATAGGCACAAGCAGGTAATTCAGACTGACATCTCAGTTGACAGAATTGTTGAACTATTGGAGATGCTGTCATATAGATGAAACATTAAGCTCAGGAGAGAGAATTAAGAAATGAGGTGAGACTGGCAATTAATGATAATACAAATACATGGAATAAGCTAGCTGCCACTCATTGGTGAGATTCAGAACTTGTTGATGAAACCCTAAGGAAAAAATCAGAAATTATTTTCTTGATGTTGAGAATCTGATTATGCCATTTTTGTATCTTCCTAACTTTCTTGCCACTGCCCCCATGCCACTCAAGGGTGTGAAAAATTTTGCCCTTTATTTCCATGCAAGTACTTAATTAGCTCTGAAGTGCTTTTAGATCATGAAATGTGTAGTTTGTTTGTTTTAAAACCACCCAAAAACATTTGAATATGGAGTTTAGCATAGAACACTTACAATGGAAGTATATTCAGAAATAACACTTAGGAAGTCAAGAGTTATTGAATGGAAGCAAATCACTTACTCAGTATGCATTCCTCCAGACATTTCATCCTGTTTTTCAGACACTTCAAGATATAATGAATTTGGTTCCTCACAGAGGTGAGCAGCACTGAGGGTTAGACAAGGGCCAATCTTTGTTCTTTCACTTTGGGTAACCTTTTCAGTTCCATCAGTCTCTTGACAAAATATCTAGAATAACAGTTGGCAGTATTCAACTTGACTGTTGCTGGAAAGTGACATATCACATCTTAGATAGTAGGAACTGCAGATGCTGGAGAATCCGAGACAACAAGGTGCAGGGCTGGACGAACACAGCAGGCCAAGCAGCATCA